GCGATAGGCGCTATCCTCTCGCCTTTCTGAGATGCAAAACTAGTACATACTGCATCCTTATGGGAGGGCTATGATATCCAGAAGGGCGTAGGAACATCAAGTGAACGTGGGCGCTGTCTTTAAGCCCATTGCCGTCAGAGACTATTGTCTACTAGCTAGTTGAACCTCTACTAACTCTCACCATTTTGAATGATGAGATTGAGGTGATAGGGGAAAAGAGCAGATATTTTTATGACAACAACGAGAGGAAGTTCGTACATGCACGCCTTTCTACGTGCATGTGTGTGCACGTTCAAGCTGACCTCGGCAGAAGGTTCTACACCGTGCATTTCGGACGGTTTTTTCTACTTCTCTATTTACGTGTACAGTTGCTTACTACTTTGTGGTTCGTATCTGAGCTTCATTATAAACTAGCGATCGCGGGCTTCGTCTTCAAGGCAGGTTGAAGCATATGTCGCGGAACCGCGACCGGTGGTCACATTTGGCCATTCTCGAGAGGAGAGTTGCATTTGCAGAGGTAAGTGCTGAACACCGCAGCGACGTAGCTAGCAGGATGGGTGATGAAAGCACAGCTGGTGAGCTGGTGCTGTAGAATGAGTGAACCAGGGGAAAAAGATTACTGAATTTTGCTTCTAGGAAGTCGAAGTTCCGTGTTTCAAATTTTGCTCTCGCATACTTGCAGAGTTTCAATAGCTCTGACGAGATTGACAGCTCTTCTTCGCGTCGTTGCGGAGTGCGCTCTGTGACGATACGGCTGATTGGGAATACATAAAAGACTGAAGTCTTTGCCGATGATCAATCATTTTTGGGATGCGCTACGCATTTCACTTCCATTCAGAATCGTAGTTGCCTATGGAATGCGACATGGCCTTACACCTTGGCCTTACGATTTGCGAAGGCTAACCGCTGGACAAGTCAGTGTCCTAGGATTGAGGTCTGGGCGGGAGTTGATCCGGGATTTGACTGCGCGCATGGTAAGCGTTCTCCTTGCCACAACACCACCTCCGCCTTCTGGGATCACATGACATACTAAAAAGGTGCAGGTGAATGAACAGTGTAGCTTGGGCTTTTCCGCACAACCGCAAAGAACGCATACTGTCGCTGTAAGGCTGCGCGCATACTTTGCGGCAGCGTCTACCAGCGACAAGTAGCGTCCACCATCGTTTCGGGCGTCCGGCAGCGTCAGCGGCTAGGAAGGTTTCGTTGGGCAGTGGGTGGGGCGTTGCCTTCTCTGCAAGCGTATTGCACGTGATGAGCGAAACTACATTTGTCACATCTATAGTATTCTTTGCTTGCACTCTACCCATCTAAATCTTCCACAAACTCGACTCCTGGTGGCCACAAACTGAAACAGGGACCAAGCTCTACCTCGATCTCGTTACGTGCGTATTTCTTAAGTATCCTCGTTGACGCAATGATCGGGAGCAACTATAGACACAACGAACTTTTACAGATGCGATCAATTCGCTTTGTGCAGAATTATCACGTCTAATTTCTTGAAAATAGTATGATGTCGACATTCATTTCATCGAGCTCACCCTTTTCAAAAGCTCTTTTCACATGTACATGTAAGGGAATAATGACAGGGATACAAGATTAAACAGTTCCGATTGAAACTGTGTACGGTGACAAAAAAGATCATATGATGAACAGTGATGCGGCTGAGTACAACTGGATTATTGTCACTGTTAAAAGGTATAGATTAGCTATGTTAGCACACCATAGAAAAACCGTAGTGAAACGTGAAAGTAGATCTAAAATTCACACGATATCTCAGAGAGTCATCACAAGAAAGGGAACACAACTTGTAAAATTTCTACCAGTCTAATTGTCGAATCTCAAGTGGCAATACGCCCCGTTCATTGTTAACATGCATATTGCGTGCCATTTGCGCCATTTGCAAGTGCTAGCCCATCGCTTGGATCTTCCTTGTGCTCTTCCTCAACTTGTGTCCATGGCGCAGGTTTAGCGTCGGCCCATACACAGAACACGGCGTTACAGACCAGAAGAGCAACTGCATGGAACAGGAAGCAATTTCGCCAACTTTCAAAGCTGAAAGGGAAGGGTTGACTTGAAGCAGAATGAGATTCCAGGAATAGATGCGTAACTTGTGTGTATTTTCACTTAGGGAATGTCTGTAAACTTCATTTTAGCGTAATTTTTATCGAGAATAATACAAGACGGGAAATTTTCAACGCATTAAACCTTTTCTCGGTAAACCGTAACAAATTAAAAAGTATTAGGCTCTCGGCGTTGATCAATCTCTTCGAAGACACGCCATCCATTGCATTCCCATTCACAATCCTAGTGAGATGATGAAAGCTATGTGTCCCACAAGATGGTTTTAGGTCATCCTCCATGTCAATTTTGCTATCCTCCTAGAGAGCACTGACACCATTTGACCGACCTCGGGAAAGTGGAAGTGCTTTGTTTTCTCGAAAAGAGCCGATCTATGTTTTGGTCTCCAGAGCTTCTGATGGATTTCTACTCGCTACTACACCCACCTCGGTTCTTTCTGGTACCACTAATGTCGACATGTGCTGCGCCTCACGAAGAACCACGTTGGGCTGGATATGACTGAAGCTCCTTATTTTGTGCAGCTATAAAATTTTAAGCACGATCCTTGTTTCAGAGATTTTACCTCTACCTGTCGCCCCAAGGTTTGAAATATTGCTGTTAATGGGACCATAGACGACCCTTCGTAGATGAAACTAATGACTGACTCAATTTTTGCCCGGCCGAGATTTCGGGAACTGCCGGTAAGCTGCAGTAGAGTAGCTGCCGTAGCGTGTCACTTTCTCCGTTCAAAAGGGCATGGGACCGGAGCTAGAGGGTCATGTTACTTAGATGCCGTCTCCATCTTCGCACGCTCTATCACTAATGTGGAGCACTAACGCCGAAAGGTGCCGCAACGAAACACTCACACAGCGGTGGAGAATGACGAGGTGATAGGGCTCAGACAAGGAGCGCGTTCGGCTATGGTTAGGTGTGTGGCCGGCAGTGCGGCAGTGCAGCCGGAGTTAGGGATGGCACCCGGGGATTACTGCCCTGCAGCTCTGCTCCCGTGCACCTTAGCAGGGAGAGCTACTGCAGCTGCTGTGCGCACCATTTTACTCGCACTTAGCAAGAACTAGGAATCAAGGGGGTGAGTGCAGAGCCTGTTTTTAATGTATGTGTCGGCATGCGGTCTGATTCTCCAGAGCACTGTGAAGAAGACGATACACGGAATAAACCATGTTT